TGTGGGCTGGTAAGTTTGAGTACTTATTTCCAAGGCAGACTACAACCTAACAACAAAAAGTTTTAAAAACAAATTCTGCACTTGTGAAAGATGCCACCTGGTCTGCCTCCGGGGCTGAAGTCCTCTTTTGGTGCACCGAGTGGGAGCAGTACAGGGAGTGACGAAGCTGGTTTTTCTCAAACCACTCCCACAAACTGGTTGCAGCCAAAAAAAGAAAAAAAAAGAAAAAGAAAGAAAAAAAAGGCCCACACCTCTCAGGGCAGGGGACGGTGCAGGCTCAGATGCCCATTTCACCTCTGGTTTCACTGTTGGTTCCAACAGCTAACAGTCTGGGAACGAGGGAGAGGTAGAGCGTGTTTAGTGCAGCTCTGATGATGTAAGCTTAAAATTCAGTTTTTCTGCCAGGAAAAACAAGGCAACTGGTTTAGAAACTTTTTTTCCCCTTTCCTAATATTCAACCAAAATCTGATTTGCATCTCTGACTACAAGATTTCTTCTTCTTTTTTTTTTTGCATAGCTCACCACTGACTTTTAAAACAACTGAACAGAATGTAGTATCTAATTCAATTGTTTGGTTTTTGTTCCTTGGAAAATGAATGTATAGAACCTGAAACATGTTTATTTCTTAAGTGCCCCTTGTGCAAGAAGAGCACAAGTTCTTCCCAGGAGCATTTACTTTGCAAGCCATTTACATGTACAGTGGGAAGTCAGAAAACAATACCCATCTGAATACTATAAAAGCACGTGGTCACGTGTGACAGGGCTGCAAGAAACACCAGCTATCCCAGGACTCTGGGTAAATAGACTTCAGAAGTGGGATTGCATTTTAGAGCTTATCAAATTATAATAGACTTGGGAGTTTCCTACCAAGGTATCCAACAGATGTTCTCTTTTGTTGGGATTGTCTAATTTGGGGACATTTGCTATTCATGTCTTTAGAAATCTTTAGGGTACAACAAATTGATCCGTTTTTTTACATGTAATGACAAAACCCAAGAGTTACCTTTTTCTTTTCTTATTTATGGGACTAGGTAATGTGAGTTTAATTCTCTTCCTACTGCATGGACAATTTAGGGTGGAGAGAGAATAGCCAGACTGGAATGGGATTTCTCCCAGGCTCAAGGTACCATTCTATAGCCATGGACAGAAATGGTGAAAAAGCAAGCCAAGCCTTCTCCTGACAACTCTTACCTAATGTGGATCAAGCTATGGGTCTCCCCCGAGCCTCTGCCTGTCAAATGTACTGCACAGGGTTTGGGACTTCCTAGAAAGAGCCACAGTAGAAGCCAAATTGAGCACAAGCCTCAGTTCAGACAAGAGACTAGCATCAGCTTTGGGCGGGTCCACATGGATGCTTTTCCCATGAGTCCTAAAGAGCTCTCCAAGTCTGAGTCTATAATCAATACTTGGATAGCTAAGAGTGGATAAGATGATATAAAACACAGAAAATAAATGTAAGCTTCATGTAATGCCAAAGACAATACCAACTATTCTTCACTCAGTTCTTAAAACCTATCCCATGACCATGGCCTTCCAGAAATGGCATTACTTGTGTTCTATGCTCTGAACTCTGTAAGATTAACCAAAGTTATGAATAACTTTAGTGAATATGGAAACTCTAACAAAGTCATACCACAAGTTTACTACTTTCATCTTTTTTTTTTTTTTAACTACTTTCCATCTTAACCTTTCTCTTACTTTAAGAACTTCTACTTAAGGATATAAGAACTTCTGATAGTTTACTTTGGTATTACAAATATAGTTCTAGCAAGTGAATTTGTAACAAAACATGAGACCTTTCAGTGCAGCATTTTCAAATTTTTTGGTGGGAATTATGAGTTAACTTAGAAGACTGCCAATTAGGCAACTGTTTACTGTGCATTGCATTTGTGTAAGCCTTTAAAGGAGCTAGCCCCTGAGTAGCTTGCAATTTAGCAAAACAGTCCTTAAAATGCATAGCACCAGCTAAAGCTATGGTGGGTAGATTATAAGGCAGATATAAATTCACTGTTACAAAGAGCTCTGGGGAAAGCTGCACTAATTGTGCTCAAGGAAAAAGGCTGGCAGAGATGGTATTTGAATAAGGCCTTATAAAATGTATACTATTTCAAAAGGAAAAGGGGATCCAAGAAGGGCACTGTATGAAGGGACTTCCAAAACCTGTGGGCCAGCAGGTGGTATAGTGGTTAAGGCTCTGGACTCCCACATGGCTAACCACAGTTCAAGCTCTGGATCCAGTGGCTTGATACTCATGCCAGGTGCATTTGTGTGCAGGCCCAAAAATCCCAAGAAGAGAATGGAGGAGAAGAGACTGTAACCTGGCCATCCCCCTGGTAGATGATTTCTCACATTACCTCTTACTATCTCTCTCTGTTTTTCTGGTGAACACATGTACCCTATGGCAAAAAACTCAAATTAAAAACATTTTTTAAAAACTTGGGGGGAAAATGGAATTAAAGTACAAGTTTATTTTGGTGCAAAAAAATTTTAATCCACGCATAGTGTTTTTATCACACATATTTTCAATGAACTTTCTGAAGACCCCTCATATGAAGAAGGCATAGAAAGGGACCAGCAGTTAGTGTAGTGGCTATGTTGCTGGACTCCCATGTAGTTGACTGAAGTTCAAGTCCCGGACCCAGTGGTTTAAACTCAAGCCGGGTGCGTGTGCATGCGTGCCCAAGACCCCAAGAAGAGAATGGAGGAGAAGGGATTGCGGTGTGGTCATACCCCCTGGGGGGTGATTTCTTGCTTTCTGTCTCTCTCCTCTGGTGAGCATGTGTGCCCTATAGCAAAAAAACCCTCCAAAAAAAAAAAAAAAAAGAAACGAGAGTGTATAGGTAAACTAAAAATACTTCAAGTGTCTGAGTCTGGTTGAAGGTCAGGCTATTTGAGGGGAAGTAAGAGAAAACTGATCTGGAGACGGATGCCAGCACCAGTTCTTAAAAAAATAAATAAATAAAAATGATGGAGGGGGGGCCAGCAGGTGGTGGTTAAGGGTGCTCGACTCCCACATGGTTGACTACAGTTCAAGGCCCAGACCTGGCGGCTTGCCTTCTCACTTTCTCCCTCTCTCTCTCTCTCTGTCCCTCTCTGGCCAAATTAAGTAAACAAACAAACAAAAAAACAGTTAAATAAAGGAATTCTTTTTAAAAAATTGATGGATAAAGTGCATCAATTGATAGATAAAGTTTTCCTATTTTTGGAATTTAGAAAAATAGGAAAAACAACCATTAAAATATGCCTTTCCCTAGTAACTTTTCAGATCATAGCATAGATTTTAGAGGAAGAACTCTATCATCAGCAAGTTTATTTGAAAATTAGATACAAAAAAAATAATTCAGCTACTGGGAAAAACAAAACAAAACACATTTTTCTGAGCTGCTAAATTCTTGACTACAGTTTAACTAATACTTTCATATTACCCACATCTTGTGATCGTTCCATGAACTCTTTTCTCATCACCCAAACACTGTCCTCCTGAAACCATTAAGTACCCACTGAGGGGCTACTCAAAAATTAATAGTTGCTCATTTATTTACCCATCCTCCCCTTTTCTGCCCCAACTTGTTCCTACAAACCACTCACTCACTCTTTCTTCTCCTATGAACTATATTAATAACAATAATAACATTAATAACTAGTACTTGCTAAGTGTTTTCCAAAGTGCCAGCCACTGCAATTAATGCTTTATGAATAGTATTTAATATAATCCTCAAAACACTATGAAATAGGTATTATTATCCCTACTTTATGACTTTGAGGAAACAAGCTCAGAGATGTTAAGCATTTTGCCATCTGCTAAGTGGCAGAAACCAGATTTAAACCAGATCTGCTTGACTCCAGAGCCCTTGTGTTTTGCCATTTCGCTGTACTGCTTCTCACACCTTTTCACCTTTCACTACCACGGGTCAGTATTTTCTATTCAAAGATAAAACATTCACTGAATGCCCGATACTGTAAAATCCTGTTCTAGGTGGTGGCAGAGATACTGAAATAAATGGGGGAATGCCTGTAGATGACTGATGCTCGCAATCACCATATTTCCATATAAATAGCTGTGTGATATCAGTGTATAAGATGGTATGCCCATGATTCATAAATTAGAGCAACTAAGGTCAGAGGGGGTGAAAATGGCTTCGTATATGAATGTTGGATGGTGACCACATCTATTCACAAACAGAAATCAGCCAACCCTGACTAAATGACTTACAGGGAATTTTAATAATACATTTCAATCAGAGTCTATAAAAACTCTCTCTGCTGATAAAAAATCTGTCCTGTCAGAAGTTCCCAACCAAATCTGCTTATAATCCATTTTCAATGAACCTCAGCTTCCTTTGAAGTAAAATAAGCTGCTAAAGCATTTAACCAACAATAAGTACATTGTGAAGCCAGTCCTTATAAAATTCATTACTGATGAGTAAAGTTATTTGGTTAGAACACAAGTATGATATAAACCAATTCTATTATGTAGCTGAATAATGTGTAAAATTACATAAAGCTATTCGGACTCAGGAACATAACTCAGACGTCATTTTTTTTTCTAGCTACGTACTTTTAAGATTACCTTTACTTACTTCTGAATAAGTTTTTGCTTAATATTTTCATCAGACTAGCTATATTTTTATAAGTAACTCTAACAGTCACAAATAACATAAGAAATGAGGTCAGACATTCACAGTCCTCTTTAGGATGCAATCATTCATACCTTGGGAACATCTAGAAGGAGACAGTTTTGGACTCAGTCTGACTACTCTTCTCTCCTCCAAAGGTACCTCATTCATATCACAAATTGCACAACTAAGACTCACCAAAAGATATTGCTACTCTATAATCTAAATTCCTAGTACAATGAATTTCTAAGGAAACAAGTTAGTAAAAGTAAAGAGAAATAATAAAAAATCCAGGAGTGATTAAAAAAAAAAAAAGAAGAGTGAGAACATTGGTCAGCAAGGAGAAGCAGTGGGCTCCATAACATTGAAGACACTGACACTTACTGCTCAATCCGGGGTGACAAATACAGCTTGGGGTACACCTGGGTGGCTTCAGTGTCCTCAAAACTGACAGAAAGGAGGGCCACGTCTTCTCCAGGGTCTTCATTTACATCCTTAAACAAGAAGTGAAAACACAAGGTCATCAGCACCTGCTCTCATGACATCGTAGTGCTAAGTGCACAGTGGGCAGGCACTGAAGCCATGTTGCAAGCTACCCTCCTTCCATTGTAGTGGCTCAGACATCCTCTGCCATCTGTGGTGGAGGTCTGCAGGTCTGTCTACTTGTTCCTCCAGAATGATGGCTTTTTAACTCCCTGACCAATACTCACCCTGGCAAGGAAAAAGACCCCTACCTATTTCGCTATCTCCACATTCCCATGGGTGAAGGGAAATGAATCTAGTGATAATGAGGAATTAAACAAAAACATAGTTAACAAACTGCAGTAAACATACTGCTTTAAAAATTATTTCTGTCCTAAATTACCAACAAAACATTACAATATCCGGTCATATTATTATATCTACCTTAAAAGTATGTTCTATAATAGGTTATTTAAATGGCAAAAATTCTCAGGAAACATCACCATGAAGTGTGTCATCACACAAGCCAATGGTGGGAGTGGTTAGATAAACATCTACTTTAGAAAATGACTATGGGTGATTCGCGTGTGAACCAAAAGACATGCGTATCTTAAGAGTCTAGTTAAGAGAACATTACAAGATACAAATATTATTGATCCAATCACATACCAACTACCAATGACCATTACAAGGTTAAACAATAACCCACAATAAACTAAACTGATAACAAGGAAGCTAAACTTACTGTAGTTTCTTATTAAAGGCAACAACAGCAGCAATCAAATATCACAACCAACTCAAGCTAACGCTGTTAGAAGTGCCCTAAATCAAAACTGTGGGACTTAAAACTGTGTGCATGTGCTTTACTATCACTGATAACACCAAGTGTCTGCTAGTTTTCTGAAAAAGGTACTAAATTAGAATAAATCTAGTAGTATACTGATGTTAATGTCTAAATACCTACTGGTAACCCCTAATAATTTATTTTCAGATAGTAGTGACTCCAAGTCAAATTTAAAATTTCTAACCATTTAGTGAAATTACATACATTTCACCCACAGGTAATGGTAAGAACTGATCTATATCTCTGGATCAGTTCACAGACTGTAAGAGAGGGCAGCAGCCATACCTAGGGGAACCCAAACTAGACTTAAGACTCACTGACCATGAGCATCAAGAACCTCAAATATAAAATGTCCTCTGTCTCTCTAAAACAAACCC